AATATCACAAATTAAATTGACAAGCTATTTTAATAATTTGATACTCAATTAGGCGTTCTATTAAAAAAATGTTAATATACTGAAAAACTATAAATAAATTTATGTAATTTATTTAATTTGATATTTATATAGTTTAATATTTATTAAATATTTATTATTGCATATATTAATATAGCATAAATAAATAGCATATTTACCAAAGTCTGACCTTTTCGTCTCCAAGATAAATCGATTCGAAATTCGCGAATATCAACACATTTTTTCGCGAGTGCATATACCATATTGTGCTGCGTTATGTAATCATGATTTGCATGATTTCGTCTCATTTTATTCTATATAATTAATATACAATAGCAAATTTGATTTTGGCAACATTGCGCGCAGTCCCATATGCGACGTTACGCGGGAGCGTCACTCGACACAGCATAGTCATTGATGGCACGCACTGTACCGTTACATCGTCACGCTGAAAAGATTAAACCAGCGGAACCGCGGCTGGCAATGTATGTACAATCGGGAAAAGCTCCCGTTCTTTTGCATATCAAACAGTTTGACATGCGACCGCGCTAAAAGCAAACGGAGAAATTATGGCGTGAGTAAAAATTCGCCTCTCTCACTTTCTTCCTTTTTCTTTCATGTTTTTTTTTCTCTTCATCTTCCTTCGAAACGGCACGCTACCAGTCGAACGATTTATTGACGAAATATTAATGCGAATCACGAAAGTGGAACTAATGAATGCTTAAACTTTAAAGCATATTCGACATTTAGCTCTTATGCTGCTTATCGAAACTATTTATGTGTCAAATTAATTCGCGATATGTTATCATAATACCTGTAAGATTAAGATAACATAAAATTCTTACTAAAGTTATTTACACAACCGAATAATTCTTCATCGAAGACATCACGTAATGGTTCGATATTCCTTTGCTGATGAAACGTGCAACAATCTGAAACATATAATAGATAATTTATAGAGTAAAAAGAGTCAGAAGAAAAATTAATGGCTACATAAAAGTCGCAAGGTGAAAATGGGAAGTCGTCCGCATGACACTCTTTGCTTTCGAATAATTATTCATCATGGACAAACGTGAGCAAGCGTTGTTCATAAAGCCTTTCAGAAATACAATAATTACCACTAATAGCTACTGAAACGCGGTAATAAAAATCTTTATTACCGCTTCTCCATTCTTTCTTCTATTCCATGTTAAATTATTGCAATGTGAAAAGATCTTTCTTCTTGAAAATAACTTTGTCATTGCGCAACACATTTTCAAAAATATTTCATTATTTTTCAAAATAAATGTTTAAGTTTTAGTTTAAAAAATAATGAAATACTTTTGAAAAGTTTAAGTTTAAGTTTTATATATTATATATTAGGTGTAGTAAAAAGAAATCCATTATTTTTCAATTTCATGCAAAAATAATGGATTTCTTTTTACTACACCTAATATATATATATATATA